TTGCAAGTTTAGACAAGCAATTACATGGACTTGAATACTTAGCTAGCAATAAGTTAATATGATCAAATAAGTAACATACACTCTAATCAATTTAATCATATAATCTTAAACCAATTATATAAAAAAATATAAAATACCTAAATAAGAAAGTTTAGAATCAAAATTCAGAATCTCACAGAGCAATCAAACCAAAAGCTTCAACTTAATTCAACCAAGAATGAGGTTTAGTTGTTCATAATGAGTTACAAGAGAGAGTTTTCTATCTATAGTGGTCATTGAGATTTGAAATCCTAAAATAAGACCTTAACATCACTATTTATAGCTAAAAGTAGGGTTACATCACATAGGTGTCGACCCTACATGGTCACACAAGTTACTCGAATAAAATTACACAATTTGCTATTTAACTTCACATAGTTTGGAGCCTTGAATAAAAGGTGTTGCATAATTTGTTGAATAGAAGTACACGGTCGTGTGCCTTTTGCCTTCAAGCTATGTTACTTTCTTCTACATGTGTAAACTTCTTTTGTTTTGTGAGACACAAACGTGTCTCTCTTTACTGCAAATCATGTGGAATGCCTACAACTCGTCCGATCTTCTTTTCTCTTAAAAGACATTTCGGATTGACACACGCATGATCGTGCGGGTTTTCTTCCTCTAGCCGTGTGAAAACCTACGGCCATGTGGTTTTGTTGCTAAGTAATCCACACGAGTTTCTTCATTGATGTCACACATCCAACAACTATTTTCTCTTGTAAGTGGCACGGCCAGGTGCGACTCTAGCTTTCTTGGTGATTTTTCTCTCCTTTTTGCTTTGGTTTTGGGCTTCCTTGCTCCAATTTGTCATTTTTCCTACAAAACCCAAAACCGTCATCTTGATCTTAATTAACCTAATATAATACAATAAACACTAAAAAGTTCAATGTAATAGAGCATAAAAATCATACTAATTATGCACTCATCATATGTTCATATTAATTAAAGGCGAGTGGTTTTACAAAAAAAGAAAGAAAAGTATATTTCAATAACTAATAGGTATTTTACAATGTACATGTATGTTGTATGTGTGTAAATTATCTATTTAATTTGTGAAAAAGAATTAGTATTTGAATTAAAAATAATAATAATAATGAACAATCATATTTCAAAAAGTATGTTATTTTTTACCATCGAGACAAAAAATTCCATTACAATAAATTGTAAAATAATTATGAAAGTAATGTCATCTATTGCTAACATGGTTCGGTAAGTCGTGGATTAAAAAAAAATTATTAGTTATGATAAAACTTCATTTTCTTTTTGTTTAGATTGTTTTCCCAATACAAAATATTAAAAGACACGTGTTAGTTATCTATTTTAAAGATATGAATACTTATTATAATCCTATGTAGAATCAAGAATAAAATTTTGTTAATTTTTCTTCTCTTTTTGATAATCTAAAATTTAAATGAAAAAAATAAGATAAGATCTTTAAAAAAAATTCATATATATATAATGGAGTCTTCTCAAGAATCAATTTTTGAATTAATCAAATTAAATCCATCATTTTTTAAGTTAAGTCGGCGTTAAATTATGTCTAACATTTAGTTGATTCTAAAAGTTGGACTATTTAAACTCACCAACAATTACTAAAAAAACTAAAAGATCCGATATGTTTACTTGTTCGTTTTCCGTTCATCTAGACTCATTTTTATTGTGGATTGTGATTCATTGACACTATTCTCTCATGTTTTGCTTCATCTCATCCATTCTTGCCTTCTTGCAGCTAACTTGTCTTGCTCTCTATTTCTAGATTTAGCCACCTTAATGCTATAGATCGTCAACAGTTTTAAAACATTTCTCTTGTTCATGTCTACTTCTGGTGAGTCAGAAATATTTTTTTTTACCACTGCACCTTCAGCTTTTAAACCTCTAATATCATTAGTTAGAGCTATATTTTTTTGTTTGTAGTTTTAGAGAAACAATGGTTGTAATAAAGTGATAACATTGGCAGAAGGTGATGGTGGCGATGAAAATAAAGAGATAGAAGCTGATGATGATTTTCCATGCAAAAAACTGCTCAACAAAAAATCAAGAAGAAAAGGATTGGCCACGTTGGTTTACAGAAATACAAAAGCAAGTTTTAGTGAAATATTTAATTAAAATTAGTAAGAGAATACTATTAGAATTTATCATGCATGAAAAATTATTTAACTTTTTTTTTTCATTTTTCACATGCATGATATGGAGTTTGAATATTTTTTTAATACATGCATTACTTTCTATATTTCCGTACTTAGGTTTTAAAAAACATAAATCCTATATATAATATATTCAAAATTACATTCTAAAATTAAAAAATGTTCGCTTGTGAGTCACATAAAGGATAACCTTTTTCTTTTTCTTTTTCTTTTTCATTTCTTCTTCTTCTTCTTCTTCTTCTTTTTTTTTTTTTCTCTTTTGATAAAGGACAACTGGGAGTTAGCTTGGAAATCTAATCAATATAGGCTCAACCAACAAAAATTTACAACTTCCAAATTCAGCGCTTTTTGGTGGGCTCTTAGCTCAAATTCAATCTTGTGGCCTAATAAACACAAAGAACGGGGGTAGTTACAATTGTTGAGTGTTTTTCAAGTCCAATTAATTAAGTACAGGAAAAAGGTTCCATGCTTGAATTGACATGTCCATTTTTATTCGATCAATTTGACTAGTGTTCGATTTTTCTCCGTATACTCTCGCACCACCATCCGTAGCGGATCAAGTGGGCGGCGGACCATTCAATTGAATAATGAACCTATGGTTTAAATATGTTGGTGAAAAAGAAACAATAGAAAAGAACTTGTGTTTGGTATGTTGTCATTATAATTGATTGTTTGATTTCTATTAAAATAAAATTTAAAGGTCTAATCTCAGTCTTAGCCTCGTTTTGTTCAACCACAGCAATGATCTTCAACAAAGAATATCCAAAACTTATCTTCATAATATGCTGTAGCTAGCCTAGTGGGGTTCATCGATGCCACTATATAGCAATTAGCAAGGATGGATCTCCTGTTGATTAAATTTAGATGAAAATTTCTGAAAATGCAGATGGCATTTATAAAAGCAATGTGTCTGGGTGGTTAAAGAGACAGACTTGAAATCGATCGGGCTTCGCCAGCGCAGGTTCGAACACAGCTGTCGACGGATTGGTTTTTATTTCCTCATTTTTATCTTCTAACGACACTACAAAGCCAGGGGCATTGGCAAGTAACCACTTTCGTAGAAACCCTCCAAAACGCTGCTGTTTATACGGATTTAGCAAAGGGCAGTTTTTAATTTGCTTCCCAAGGTTTGAGAGGCTTATTATTAGAATTTTTATTAAAGTTTCGATTCTTTCCTTTTTATCAATTAAACTAATATAATTAACGATATACTATTTTTAATTGACTTTCTAAAAGCTTTTTTAAAAAAATTAATCAAGCATTCATTTTTGGATCATATTAACTATCTTCTTTCTTTAATTAGAATTATATTTTTTTAATCTCATATTTTTCAAATTTACAAAATTTTAACATAAAAAAAAATTCGATAAAAATACACGAATTCAAACTATAAATGTTGTAATATTTTAATAAAACCATAATGACTTGATACCAAGTTAACATAGTTTTTGGATAAAAGAAAATATAATTAACATAGCTTGGTATAATCTTTTTATATTTTTATTTTCAAAAAACAAAAAATACACGTGTTAATTGTGTGAACATAAGGTTTAATACAATAAAATAAAATTAATAACACTAATACACTATATATTTTTGTCCAAATCATAATTTTAATTTTTATATTAATCCTTCAAAACATATTAAAATGTAAACTCAAATTAATAACTATTGATGTGACATTTTATAATTGAATATATATATATATATATATGTTTTGATGATACAAATTTTATGAATTTTAATATAATTGGAGGATAAATATTTGATTGATTACTAATTGTCCAATTTAAGTCTTGATGTGGTGGAATTTTATAGCCAAGTGACACTTGGGTTCAAAAGATAATAAAATAAAATAAAAAAGGTAAATACCCTAAACTTACCCTTGTATTTGTGCAAATTGTTCATTTTTATCCACGTATTTTTAATTTCAATTAATTCTTATGTTATTTAAATTTATTCAATTAACAGTTGTGTTTTCTAAAATCATTCAATTAACCCAATAACTAATTTCTATCAAGTCTTCTATTAACTACATTGGCTAATTATGTATGTAGCATTATTAAATATTTTTCATTTATGAAAAGACTTTTTAGATTTATGCAGGATTTATATCACGAACAATAAATTAACTTAGAAATATATTAAAAATATTTTTTTATAAAAAATTGAAGAAATAAAAATACCATGATTAAACTAATTTTCTTTTTCACCATTTTGGCTTTGTAACATTTTTTGATTATTTTAGCTTTATTTAGTTTTTAACATGTATAATTCATAACTGATATGATCTATCCATTTTTAATATATTTTATAACATAATTTATTTGGTGATAAAAATTGAATATAAAATATAAAAGGCCATCTCATGAATGAACGAATTCAATTATTGAATTAACTAGACAAATTTAGAGAAGAAGGGTTTATTGAAAAAATTCAGAAAATATAACGATTAATTGACCAAATTAAAAATACAATGGATTAATTCGGTTAAAATTATTCACTATACTCAAACTTTTCTGTCCGATTCTATGCCTATCTGTGTTATTGTGTGTCCTGTTAAAAATCTAATCGATTTTGAACTGCTCTTGTAATATGATGGGTTACTTGTACGCACCCAGACCTCTGAGATTTGGGTTCATGGATTTGCTCGGTAATTTTTTAATAACTAACATATCAGGCCCATCTTGTTTTGAATTTCTGATGAAATAAAATGTAAGCAGGCTGGATGAGTATGGTTATAAGTGCGTTGGAATTGACAGGATATAGATGATTAGGGCTCTATTTCAAAGACTGCAGTCCAGATTCTAATGGGCCACGATGGGGATCCATGAGAATTGCAAGAGCGTGGATCGGAGTTGGAATGATCCACCATGGGAGTCCATGATAACAACTCTCTTAATGATGGTTTAACCAAATTCAAAGTTTATGTCCATAAACATCATTATTCTGAAGTTGAAATTACTCATCAAGTAGGCTTTAGTCATGTGGGGACACCACAGCTGGCAGTGTTTGTCAATCGACGTCTTAGGGATGTGACATAGCGAAAACTCATTTAAATAAAAATAATTACTGTTAATTTGAAATTCAGATGTTAATTAAGTATAATTAGGAAATTGTCTTCAATTTCGTTGATTCAAAGAATATTGAAAATTGGGATAAATCAAAATACTCTATCATAAAACTTTATTAGATAACAAAAGTGGCGTTTTTCTACCTCAAAATCATACATAAATAGTAAATTTTTGACCAAAACTCTAAAACAATTTAAAAAATAGACAAACACTAAAAAGAATAAATTATTAAGGAAAAATCTAAAAATAAAAATAAAAACTGATTCTGAAGGCTTGAATGATGTTTTTTTGATCAAAATCACCGCTACATCATAATCAAAGTCATGAGTTTTGATTGTTAACTTGTTTGGCATCGAAGTAGGTTCAAAAAACCTTAAAATTTGATCTATACTTTTTATTTAATTTTTATCGCGTTTATATCATTACGTGAATTTCAAAACCTATTGGTTTGCATGAAGACGGTGGTTTGATTTTCGTGGAGATAAAAAAAATAAAAAAATAAAGTAACACCAGTGTTTTTATCGCGGAAGTAACCGGAAGGTGCTTTTGAGTAATACAAAACAAGGTAGATTTATGGAAAGGCGATTAAACCCATTGTTTCTAGAATTTATTGGTGATGTTTTCCTTTTTATATACATATGTCTTTTCATCGTATGCTTCGAGTATTTAGGTGGAAGTTTCCTTTTTAGTTGTAGTGCATGTGATGAAGTTAGAAATTGTGAATCCGAATAGCTTGATTCTCTAACCTTCTCTTTTCCTAGTCATCAATCCTCGTCCCTTCTTCTCAAAGCAATACCTAGCCTTTATAATCTCATTTTCTCAAATCCTCATTTTCCCTTTAATTATAATCACTGTCCCACTAACAGCCATTGCAAGAGAGAGTTCAGAGAAACAACACAGTTAGGACAGCAACAGAGAAGATGTCGGATTGGGGACCGGTGTTTGTGGCAGTGGTGCTATTTATACTTTTAACACCAGGTTTGCTGATTCAGGTGCCGGGCCGTCATCGATTTATTGAGTTTGGCAACTTCCAGACCAGTGGAGTTTCCATACTGGTTCACTCCATCCTCTACTTTGCTCTCATTTGCATCTTCTTGCTGGCTGTTGGTGTCCACATGTACATGGGTTCATAGCCCTCAAATGCTGATCTGCCTCCGACACAGAGATGGAAGAACTATACCATCTTAATCGTCCTGATTTTCTTGAATTGTAATAAATATGCTTTTTTACTCTTTTCCCATTTTATGGTAGATCTTTTGAACTTGATTCGATTGGCAATACTTTGTACTTATTTTATTTAGTTAAATCTATCTAATGCAGCTCCACCTTTGCTTTGTGGTTGCAACCTGGAATTCTTAACTGAATGAATTGCTGACGAGTTTGGATTTACTTGCAGAGCATCTTTATAAACACGACACAAATATTTTAACTACAATAGATTGTATATTTAGGAAGCACTAGGCCCCATAGGTTAAAACAGAAGCAGAAAATTAGGTTGAAGATGGATAGGGAAGGGTTAAAGGATTTGCAATCTTTGCATAAAGACGGCAGTGAACAGAGATATTGATTGTCACAAGATTTGGTTTAAATATTGCAACTTGCATAGTTCAAATGGCAGGCAGATGGGTTTGTGTAGCAAAAATTGCCTGTGCTTCTTGATCAAAAAGTGTTTCAAAGGGTCAACTACGCATGATTCCCTCTTGGCCCATTTCCATTTTGTCGAGATCCACAATCACCATTTTCATGTAGCAAAGTCATCTCTACTAAGGTGATTTTGTACGAACCACAAGCAGCTACTGCTTTTCTACACGTTAACCGTGATGCTGGGTCAAAGGAACACCATCCTGTAGTACACAAGCACATGTGTGTGTCATACTGGAGGGAAAGTAAATCTCTTTCTTCCAAGAGTTGCTAGAGATGGTTACAATCATAAGAACCAACAAAAAAACTACAGAGATTTCATATGGTAATTGAAAAAAGAAGAGCAACATAATAATAAAATCGTAGCAGAGCAGAAAGAGCACTAAACGTACAGTGTATGTAGGCTTAGACATAAAGGTGGGCGTGAAGAACAACAAGAAACAAAACAAGAAGCAGACCGTAGATAACCATATGAACAAAAATGGAAGCTAAACTTGTTTTCATATTCATGAAATCAAGGGGTCGTTCCTTCCCTGGCATTTGAAAGACCACCCCAGGTGACAAAAACGCAAACAAAGCAGCAGCTATAAGAGGAGCAGCCCAATCGTTCATTCTTAGAGTCGAGAAATCTCTCAATTCTCTCTTTTCAGCTCTTGATACCTCAACTTTTCAAAGCAGGAGGAGGAGGAGGAGGAGAAATAAGCAAAGGACACAAAAAAAAAAAAGGGTTTGGTTAACATATTATATATCTTCTTCTTCCTAGCTCTGAGAGGTTAATACATATTTAAAGGTTTGTTTTGTGTTCAAAAGAAGAGAGAAATTTTATAATACATGATAAATAATCATAACATATATAGCAGTTATTCTATAAATTTATTTTTTTAAAAAAATAAACATAATGAATTATATTCAAACATATTAAAAATAATAAAAAAGATTTTTATTTTTTTAATTATTTTTTATATATTTATTTCGCTTCTCAAAATGTTATACATAGAGTAATTACTTATACATATAACTAATTATTCTTTATGTATTACAAAATTTTTGAAAAGATTTATTTGTTAATATTTAAACTGATGTAAAAATATTTTCAATAAATAAAATAAAAACTTGTGAGGAGAGAATATGACGTCAGTAAATGGTCATTAATTAGGGAATAAGATTCCCATAAAGATAAAGATAAAGTTAAAGATAAAGAATGGGCATGAATTATCTTATCAATCATTCGCTTTATAAGCTTTTTTGAACGACTTGTATGGTTTGTTGAAGGGATAGCATCATTCTGGATTGAAATCAAGGCCGTAATTGAATAAGTTGATTGATTGTAATCGTTTGCTGGACCATATGGCGGTATGGTTAAAAGCACCATCACAATGCTTTTCTAAAAGAGGCCTGCTTTAAGGAATAATCGAGCCAATTGATTGAAAGTTTTGTAGGCCCATCACTCTGAATTTGATTGCCATTACTTAGGGTTTCTTAATTTTTCCATTATCTTCTAATGCGCACTACCTCACTCCCTTGAGAACCAGTGGATAGCCCTTAAGCCATTATCTATCTACATCATCATCAATTCATCACCAACCTTTTAGGAATTAGGGATGGAAGCATAATTAGGTTGTAAACTGTCAGGGGGCTTGGCCTTTTCTTTTTAGGATTCTTTACTTCCTAGTAAAAGAATCTATTATAAATTTTAATCTTTTTCATTTAATTACATCTTTTTTTTTTTTAAATCATCCATCAAGTATTTTTATCAATTTTTTAAATAAATGACTATCTATTATTTTCAAAATATCAAATTACATTTTTTTCTCATAGAATATATGGTTGCATGCAAAAAAAAAAAAAAAACAAATCTTGTATCCCTTAGCAAATTATATATTTTTCTCTTTTATTATAACGAATATTTTTCTTAAATTATTTTACCATTTTAAAATTTAATAAAAACGTTTAAAAAACTATTATTTAGGTATAAAATTTCTAACTAAATTTAGTTACATTTGCTGTTAAAAAAAAGGAAAAAATTCAGTTATGTTTTGAACGTAAAAGTTGAAAAAAATACGAATATGAGATTTTTTTATAAAGAAAATTGACGTGTTTTCTTTCAGATTTTACTCTTAAATCTAATCGAGTTTTTTTTTTTTTTTTAATATCAACTAACTGGTTTTTATTTAGAATTTTATAGCTAAAAAATAATAAATTTTTAACTCTTTGTTAAATTTTGAAATCGTAAAATAATTAGAGAGAAAGTTCATTTCAATAAAAAAAGATAAAATTATAATTTTGTATTTGAATTTATCATTAATTAATAAAAAAAATTATAAAAATACTTGATTGATAATTTTGAAAAAAATTAAAGTATTCAAATGAAAAAAATTAAAATTTATATACTTAATTAAAAAAGAATAAAATTATAATTTAGTATTATGAGAGTAACAAATAAGTCATTAATTAATTAAAAAAATATTTGATTAACAGTTTTGAAAAACATTATATACTTAATTGAAAAGATTAAAAATTAATATACTCATATTGCAATTGTCCTCTTTATATTTGGGTCCAGGGGAGAAACGAAGAATCAAGATAAACGACGTCGCTCATTCTTGTTTGACGTGCACCGACCCAAGACAAAATGGTCCCACTGCTGTCCTTTTCTTCTGCTTTAACCACTGTTTCAGGTTCCCATACCCGTCCACACCCCCCCACCCCCCCCCCCAAAAGCCCGATAAAGAAATAAAGAAAACAAGAAACTCTTCACTTCCCATCCTTATCACAATAGCCTCATCTTCAAGCTAGTTTAACCAACTTACAAGTTACATCTTGTCTTAAAAAAAAAAAAAAACTAAACAACCCCACTTCTCTTTTAATCTTTTGGTGCTACATAAATGGCAGACTGGGGGCCAGTGGTAATTGGGGTTGTGCTTTTTGTGTTGCTACAACCTGGTCTTTTGTTTCAGTTACCAGGACACGGCAAATCAGTGGAGTTTGGGAGTTTGAAGACGAATGGCAAGGCTGTAGCTGTTCATACTCTCATCTTTTTCATTGTTTATGCTATTCTCATCTTGGCTGTTCATGTTCACATCTATACTGGCTGATTACTCAAGTACTGGTAACTGGTAAGTTTGTTTGACAACGTTGTTGCTGGATGGCCAAGATCTCTGTTGCTTGTATGTGTTTTTTTTTTTTTTTTTTTGCTAAAGAAAGATTGTATTTTTGTAGTTATGGGTCATGATTTATTACAATCTTGGCTGCTCATTTGAATCTGAAATATGGAACACTGATCTTTTAGTACTGGATTAATGGAGTAATTGGCTATTGCTATTGAATATGTGGTGTGTTTTTGAATGGATATGCGATCCATTCACATTAGTGGGACCGACAGTGAAAGATTAAAGCCTTCTAATTTTCTTGGTGTGGAGATTTAGTAGGTTTGATACAAGCTAAAACGAAAAAAATGCTGAAGGGTTGTTGCTTAAAGGGGCAAAAAAAAAAAAAAAAAAAAAAAAGGAAATTCTAAAAGGTGCCATTGTATTTGTAGGACTTTTTGAAATAATAAAGATCCTAAAGATCTCTATTTTGGTTACAATCATTGACCCAATCTGTGTTTTAGGACCAACTCGCTCAACGATGTTAGGTTTTTTATTCAGTTTCATCACATAAGAACTCTTTCTGGTCAAAATGATATTTTATCTATGGAGTTGATTAGTTTATTAAAAAAAAAAAAAAGTCTAGGGACTCAAGGCCTCAATTTTGGTGATAGTTGCAAGCAGTCATCAGTCTCATAACAAATTGTAGAGATGAATTGCTCATTAAAAGAATTCATCCCTTTATTCTATAAATGAGGCATAAATAACAATTGCAGAAAGAGGAGCATTAGTTAGTAATACCAAACTTCATTTCGAATTTAGGTACATGGCCTTGCTAAAAAATCTCAAGGCTTTGTGTTTAGAGCTCTAGACTATGCTTGAACATGTTGATACCAACCAGACCAAACCAAGCAAAGAAGATTAGCAAGCAGTATACAGAAGAAAAAGAAGAAGAAGAAGAAACTATGTATGAGAAGAAAAAAGAAAGCAAACAATGATAAAAGTGGCCTTTGCCTAGAATGTTTCTGATTGATTATTCATCCCCACGAAAAGGAGGGAATTTTCTAATCAGTTGACATGTATGTGAATACCTATTGCAATGATCAGGATGGTGATTATGCAAAAGTATATAACTGCATGAACTAGAATGGCAATCCCACTAGTGTACATGTTCCCAAACTCTACCACCCTTGTTCTCGCCGGTATCTGGAACAATAGCCCTGGTGACAGGAGGATGAACAAAACCACTGAAACAATGACCGGTCCCCAATCGGCGCTCATCTTGTTCTCTGTCGACTAGGATGGAGGTTTAAAGCTTTCTGAGTATTGCTTCAAGGTTTGATGAGAAAAGACAATGATGAGGGTTTATATATGGAGGAGGGCGAATAAGACTAATTTCTTGGTGATTAAGGAGGTGAGGTGCGAAACTTAGTGAGAAAGAGCAGAGTTGGGTTATGAAGGGAGGAAAGGTATGCTTTGGTAGTGGGTAAGCTGAAAAGAAGCAACTTTTCTTTCACTAACATCTAATAATTGTTCAAATATAGCTTCTTTTTGCCTGCTTTAGAGATTGATGAAGGTGGAGCCTTTATAAAAGAAGTCATAAAAGAAACAGATGGGTAGGCAGGTGCATGTGTAAAGGTCCAGAACTCTGGGCGCATTTGAAATGCTTGCTTGTCATGTTTATCTTGCTTGGGCAAGCAACAGTCTTCTTGATCACTATGGAGAAACTTCCTCTGCATTACCCCTGCTGTTGATGTTATTGCTTTGTCTTTGTAATCTTCAAGACTTTGCCTAAGCAGGTCCTGATTCCTGATGTACATATTGGTCTATCTTTACAGCCACAGATTAAAAACAGCCATAAACATCTATGCATTTAGCAGAAATCATGACAATCCTGTATCTATAGTAACTTAAAAAGTATGGCTGCAACATGCTAACTAGGGCTTTGACAAATTGATTGTAAAATTAGTGATTGATCACAAAGCTAGTTAGTGGTTCGTAATTAGTAAGATAATTGAATTGCACCCTTAGAGGCGTTCTTCAAATCGAATTAAAGCCTTTTCCAGATGAAATTGCACCTGATGGGCAAACAACTCCCCGTTTCAAAAAGCTAGTTACTGGTTCATAATTAGTAAGATAATTGACAGTAACCACAGCTTCAATGGTTAAGAGAGTCGGCATAGGAAAACAGGGCAAGTTCCTAATATTAATGTGTTAGAAGTTGACGAGCTTGCTTGACCTGAAATCAACCTGTTCAAGGGCAAACAACTCCACGTTTCAAAAAGGGTATCCTTCCACAAGTATACAGCTGCGTTGATAGCTGCTAGAATTTGGATTAAACCTGAGGTTGTATTCCCATTTATGTTCCTGGTTAATTCCTGTTTATTCAAAATCAACCGATGGACCTTAATATGTACTCAACTGGAAGAAACTATACACTGAAAATCGAAAGAGAAGGCATAACATCTTAAGGAAATCCTTTCTTTTAACAGACCCGAATAACTAAAAGCAACACATTTCGTTTTCAAATATTTTCTCGTCTTTCCTTGTCTTTCCTCTGTGGACAAAACGTACTACCTGTTTGATATCTTGAATTCTCTGTAACATTTCATTTTGTATTTTCCATTCTCTGCTTGATATCTCTTACGAATGGATCATACCAATGAATGAATACAGGCCTATCCTCTGGTTGGACCCCAAGTTGCCAAACCGCAAGAATCAATCAATCATCGACCGCTGCAGAAAAAGCCATGATTTTTACGTCTACTAGAAATTCGCATGCCAAGGGAATGAAATAGCCAAACCTCGTAAAAAGATCTAAACGTTTCTTGCCGCCGTCCAAAGGAAAGAGATGCCAAATCCTTTGCCGTCCATGGCGATGCAGCTAACAAAGCAGCGTCAAATCCTATGCCTCTACCTGATGTTGACCTTTTCTTTGTCCTTCAGATTTCCATTTGTCCCAAGTTGTTTCCCTTTTGTCTTTCTCCAGGTAACTCTTTTGCCCCGAGTCTTTATAGTCCGTTCCACCTTGGTATCTCTGGATTTCATAACTCCTCACATATCTCCAGCATTTCTCATCAATCCTCGCTACTACTAGTGGGTCAGTAATAGAGCGCTAAGATAAGGAAAGAAAAAAGAAAGTTCAGAGGACGCTGGCAAATGGCAGATTGGGGACCAGTGGTGATAGCCTTGGTTCTGTTTATACTGTTGACGCCGGGACTGCTTTTCCAGCTCCCAGGGAAGAGTCGAGTGGTGGAATTCTGCAACCAGCAAACCAGTGGGCTCTCTATGTTTGTTCACACCGTCATCTTCTTCGGCCTCATAACCATTTTTCTCATCGCAATTGGCGTTCACATTTCCACAGGATAGTATATCTTTGACGTTCACCGCAACCACATTTCACTACCTCTTCCTCCTCCTCATGTCTGTGGCCTTTAATAAGCCAATTTCTTTTAGAAAAACAACTGCATCTCTCTTAGCTATCGTCTGCTAAAGAAAAAACTCTCCTTTCTTTGGTCTTTTACTCTTTTCCCTACTTGTCGAGTGTTTTCCTTTTCAGTTAATGGTTTATATATTTTCCGATCAGTGATTTATTAGAAGATGTTCTGTAGTTTTTTGAAGAATGATTAATTAATGGGATTGGATTTGTTGTGAGTTAATAATGTTCAACTTTAAGTCCTACTGGCACACAAGATTCCAATATATATATATATAGCTCTTCTTGAAATTCTTTATACTTATCACAGTGTGACAACTATAAAAATACTGAAGGATAGTCTCTATAATTTGAAATGCTAACCATCATTAAACCTTGACAGCATTCTGCAGAGGAAGGAAAAATATAAGGAAAAATTATTGCTAAATCAAAACATTATTTGCAAAAAAAAAAATATAAAAAAAGAAAGAAAAGATGTACCAGGAAGCATGCAATGCTTACTTGTTTACACCATAAACTTCCTTCAAAGAATCTTATATAAGCAGCTGAAGCCTCATCTTCAGAGTCAAACACACAATGAACAGTATCATGATACGTATAAATTTGAGCCTTGCGCTCTTTCCATGTTGCAAACAGGTTCAGAACACGACCAACAAATGCAAAATATGTTTTACCCATCTAAAAAAAATCAAAATTTGAAATTATTGACAATCACAATCCATTTGCAGAAAATATTAAAATTTGTCATTTATGGAGTGTCTTTTTCTTCTTTTTAGATGACTACTGAATTCCTGAAACAAATTCTTCTTCCATAAGATCCATCATCTCCTCTTTGCACGCCTTTATATATGCACCTGCATTCTCTTCTCATCCATTCCATCGGTACCAGAAAGACTTTCTCACCCTTTTTTATGTCCAAAAGCCCTTGGTTTTTTTGGTCAAAGGAAAAAATCCATCGATTGTGAAGAAGAAGACTTTCTCACTCTTTTCGATGGCAGAAGAACGCATCAGTTGCGAGAAAAAAGGATGTTCGAGGCAGTTCTTTTGTCAGCCAAAAAAACGTGAGAAAAGAGGCATAAATGGCAGTTTACTTAGGAGTATAGGATAATAATAATAATAAAAAATAAAAAGTAAAAAATAAGATAAAAATAAAAATAAAAAAAAAGAAGGAGGAGGAAGGCCGAAAAGCAGCAGATTTATGCTTGACCAGGCTCAGTCCAACTATAAAAAAATCCGCAGTAAGTCGCTAGCGACTGTCGGTAAACAAAAATGGGAGAAGGAAGAGACATTATCGATATAAAACGAACAAATAATTATATGGACTAAACTATAACTATCATGCCAAAATTGGTTTATTTAGTTTTAATGTTGAACTTAACTAAGATTATGAGTAGAGATAATATTTTAGGATATTAGGATTAGTCAACGTTTTGTAAAAAAGAGAGGCCTTTTTTGTGCCTAACTTATGATTTTTTTCTTCTGTTTTGATGTCCAATTGTTGATTTCTACTTATTAACTACCTAAGTTTTAATTTTGTATTTGTTTTCATGCTTAATTTTACTTGAGGTTCAATTTTACTGACATATCCAACAAAATTTATCACGTTGCTTTAAAAAAGTGTCACACGACAATCAAATATAGACACATCAACACCTCATGCTCTAAAGTGATTGTGAGCACTCAAATAAGGGGAAAAAAAGCATTGAAATAGAAAGGAAAAAAAGTAGATGTTGGGCTCCAAAAAAAAAAAAATGATTGGACACCGAAAATGTAGTTTTCTCAAAAAAATTATTTCAATTTTCTTACACCAAATATCTATCCTCTTCTTGTACTCGATCTATCATTTCCTTATTATAAATAGATTTCATACATATTTTATGCTTTCATAATCTTTATATGTATATGATCTCTCAAAACTTCTTTTTAAATATTGAAAGTCATAGAAGTTTAAATTCTAATAATATCACTAATTAAATGCATGTATATTTTTTTGTTATTATGCTAATTGCACAAGCAGTTTTAATAATGTATTCACTTATTAACTTAATTCATAATTTAATTATTATCTCTATCATTATTGTCATAATTATAAAAAAAAATTGCATTTGAAATGCAAAAATCAAAAAATTAAAAAACTTGATCATTAAACTTATTCATCTCGATTTTGTTTCATTTTAGCCTATTATAAAACGTTTAGCAAGTTATTGATCACAAAAAATGCTCATGTCATCTATTATATGTTGGTCGAATCTTCTCCTAAGATAGAAGAAGCAATTTTATTTTTATTTTTATTTTTTGTAAATTTCTCTATTAATCAATTATATATTTCAAAAAATAGCGATCGTAATTGAATCTTATGTCTTTTATATCATATATTTCAAAAAATAGCGATCACACCTCTTTTATTTTTTTAGATTTACTCTTAATTAAACTTTATATATATTTGGACTTAACTCATATAATTTAATCATATACGAGGAGAACAATTGTACTTTTTTTTTTTTTTTTATCTCTAGGATATCTCATACTCAAAGACTTAGTTAATTCTTCACTATTCGATTACATGAAAAAAAAAAAAACATATTTATTTAAGAAAATACAAAGATTTAAAATTAAAATTATTTATTTAAATGATTAAAATTTATTCTGCTTAAGCTATCTCTATTGGATAAAACAACTACACTTTTTTTCATTCACAAGCATCTCCCTAAATATAAATGGAGAAAGTGAGAATCGGAGAATTCAACTTTTCTCAAACAAATCAAATCATCAAATTAGTAGTCTTACTCTTTTTCTTTGATTCCATAAACCAAACACCACTTTAGCATCTTTCATAATACTTGGGTACATGTGGCAATATCCTAGTTTCCACAATCGAAAACAAGAGAGGTTGTCACTAGACTTGTCATACTCTCTCTCTCTCTCTCTCTCACATCAGTTTTCACTAGACTTGTCATGTTCTTGAAAGACCCAACCGCTACCAAGTGTAAACTACAGGTCAATTTCGCATACGACACCGTGAAGGACGGTAGTCGAAGCTACATTTCATCCCATGATCTAATCTACTCTTAATAACAATCCCATAAGTAAATGATAATTATGACTATAATAATAACAGTGATGATAACCATCCCGAAGCTTGCACAAGCTGCTGAGTCATCAGGTCTCAAGCACGCTGCAATTATTGCTGATAAATACTATTACAACAGACGATGGACCCAAAGTCCAATGATCTGACATATGAAAGTTGAAGTGCCACTTAGCAGACCTGTCCTTCCAACTGGCAACCAGTTACCTGCTAGCTTATTGGTTTGACCATAGTTATATACATAAATACCTATAAAACGCCCCACTTAGCTTATATTTGTTAAAAACCCTGCCTGAGAACCGCTCGCTGCCATTGCTAGCTAAAAGCCATGGTTTTGCTGGTAGGTGAGGTTGCCGTTGTTAATGATTGCAGAAATCTGGTTCATGGAACAGAGACACAAACTTATCAATAGATTTCTCATCTTAGGTGAGTTCAAGTTTTGTTTTATTTCACAAGAATATTTTCAACTTCTTTACCTCTCTCTCTCTAAGATTGGTTTCATCTGTCAGATATTTTTCCTGTTATTAGCAATAGCAAATCAAGTTAGCAGAGTATTGATCCGCAAGTAATCTTACTGTTTAAGCCAGAGCACTACGTTAGGGTGAAAATTAGGCAAGAAACAGAAAAAGAAACAATCTAGGAGACCAAGGAGGCAACATAAGACGCAGGATAAATAGAGAAGACTTCAAATAATTATTGCCCAATAGGCGAAACAGTACCACACCAAACCTTAAATGCGAAAAGGAGAAGTAAACAGAAAAAATTCCCTTTGTAATTTATTGACAACCTAGCTGGAATTCTTAGTTTTGTGCTTTCTTTTACTTCCTTGTTTTAAGTGGAATCCAGGAAAAAGCAGAGACTTAAAGAAGAGTCACAAATTAAGCTTGAACTGCAAACATGTGAAGAAAAATGACCAAATAAAATTCTAGGATCAATCCTTAATTTGTTCTTCTAATCATTCTCAATCATTTGTCTTGATAATAAATTATCACTCTCCTTTTTCCTACAATAAACTCAACAATTTGAAAGACGGCTCCTGTCACTGCTTGCCCATTCAACCCCTACTCATTTAAAAATTTGTTCATTTCTCACCTCCATGAAGACATGCTATGTCAGGCTGTCGATAGGTTTCCCTGACAAAAGACACACCACCCTATTATTTAACGCAACAAACTTACTGACTTGCCCATTCTTTTTGTACACTCATCTAAAGAACAAGTAACTTCTAAAGATATAATATTGCTATATGAGAGCCTTACTGCATAGGCTGCAGATCAATGAAGGCACAATCCCCTTCAACGCATTTTAACTACTAGTTGTGTAACTAATTCGACTACTAGGAAAAGGGAGCCCTACATGGAGAATTGCTTGTCTGGTTTAGTAGCCATCAAGCACTCCCTCTGGCAACTGCATAAGCCTCTAGAGGCTACTAAGTCTAATTCTGCTTAATGCTGATTACATCTCCCTTACATGAAAATAGTTTAATTTGTGGATATAGAAGTCACATAAAAGTATTTGTATGTGTTTCATCAGTACTAAACAGCACTTCACTTTGTAAGAACTATGCGAATCCAACATTCAGAAAAAGAGTCAGATTTTTTAGGACTTAAACAATGGTATTGTTTTCGATGCCATCTTTTTTATTGTTGGTGTATAAATGTCTTGCCACAATATACAGAAATGATTGGCACATGCCTGCTTGGCTATAGTAGATTTCAGAGTTTGATTTCTACCTTTGTTCATCATATATATTTTCTTCATTTTCACATGTCAATTCATGACACTTGCATGCAGTCACTTAAAAAAACTAACTATTTCTGTGCATAAATAAAACAAAAGTGCTTGAACTTAACAACACTTGATCCAGCTATACTGTGCTTTCAATAAATGTACCCAATTTATTTGAAAGAAAGAGAGAATGGCATACCTTATGATGGAAGGATGATACGGACTTAATCATTGCTTCTGTCTACATATCACCATTATTTATGTTTCAGGATTTCGATTGCTAATTCATTTACATATTAGGAGTAGTTATTTTTTTCTATTTCGCCGAGACATGCACATAAAAAAGGGTTTTATTTAAAAAGCTTCTGAATTTGAAAATACAGAGATGGAATGTCTTTGTTGAACACTTGAATAACTTTTAAAATTTGATTAATCAATTGATAACCATACCATTAGTAAAAACTTTGGTATTGTGACATTTGGCAATTCTATTCTGAACGTGTTTTATTGCTATCCATTGTTGAAGATAGCTTTTTCAATGAAGAAAAAACAAAATGAGATGAAGTGGTAGCGGATAAAGCACAAGCTCTTGTAAAGTAAGAGTATAAATAGAGAACTTGATGAGCTTAGTAAATCCAGAAGCAAATCACAGTCAAATGATGGTTTAAATGTTATCACAATGACAGTGAAAGTCACATCAAGAGAATGTGTAAGGCAAGAAAGAACAAACAGGTTTGAAGAATCAAGTTGAAGATAAGGAGAATACCACAAGAGTATTAACTTTAGATTAGGATGTTGTGGGGCTCTAACATAAAAGAATAAATGTTGCAAATTCTTGTGTTGAATGAGTACTTGACTCAGTTGCATATCATGTCATTTCTAAAAACAAATTCTTTAATGTTTATAAAACAAGAGATTTTGGCAAAGCAATGATGGATAATAATAGTTATGTTAATATTTTATATGTTGATGATTGTGTATGAAGATACGTACAAGTTGTACGTTAATTTTAAAAGATGTGATGCATGTGTCGAATTTACACTTTAATCTGATTTTTACTCATGTCTTGAACATTATTAGATATTATAACCATTTTAATAGAAAAAGAAACTTACCAAAGGATCAATGGTTGTTGCTATAGGCGATACAAAAATATAGTTGATCAGGCTTGAGAAGAGTGTTGTTAGATATAATTTTTTTTAAAAAACTTGTAGTCTCGATGACATGCTCAAGTGAATGAAAAAAGATTGGTAAAAAAGTTTTTTGTTATTTTTGTCAAGGATATTCTGGGTTACGAAAGAGTATTAAATGAAGAACATGAAATTGATTTTGAATCAACAATTAATAATGATGATAATACAAACACCAAAAATACTGAGCAGAGAGAGTAGGACCTTTCACTTCAGAATGTAAAGTCTTGGGTAAGTAGGTCTACTAGTTAATGCTATTATTTTTTCAAGAATTTTAGTTCAAATAATGTGTTGTTGAGGTACGAAAAAGAGTTAAATAATTTTGTAATATTCTAATTTATTATGAAGATCGAGAATGAAAGTTTAATGATCGACTGTATCAATGGCTTTGTGTGATAGCTTTGTGTGATAATAGAGAAACGATTGATGATATTGAGAATGGTATTTTAAAATAAAGATGATGTTGAGATTTCAATAGAGTTAGATAACATGCCAGAAGAATTGATTATGTGCCAGCGTGATTGGTATGAACTCTGATTGATATTTTTCCCCTCATGGATTGGGGGGAGATTTGTCGGGATATGCTATAGGTCTAGACTATGAGTGGCCTTAGTATAAACAATTAAGAAATCAATTAGGAAAATAATTAAGAAAATGATTAAATAGAAAAAGTTTCTTTTCCTATTTTGGTTTTTCAATTTAGCCAAAATATGCACATATAAAAAAGATTTTTTTTTTTTGCACAGTTGCCAAGAGAGAACAGTTGGAGAAAGAAAAAAAAAATTTTGTGCAAAAACATGAAGATTTAGCTGATTCGAAGCTTTCATGGTGAGTAGAATTTTGCTAGAGAGGTAAATTATATTGCTCTTAATATTCATGCGTTTCAAGTTCACAAAAGAAGAACTTGACAATTATATTGCTTTATTATTATTATTATGGATTATTTCGGATATGACAGACAAGTTTATATATATATATTTGATGTTCTTGTGATTATTGTGTGTAGTTTAATTATTTTTTCACAAAATCTAGTTTGCCTGGATGGAGATTAAATTCTCATAAATATTACATAATTGCACTAACATTTCAAGTTCTAGCAACCAACAGACAAAAGTTATTCTGTTAATAGATTTAGAAAAAATCCAATAATTTGTTTGGCAACTGACCTTTCTTGCTCTGGTCTGAATTAGTATGGAGTTCAGTTCTCTCTCAAGCTGGATGAGTTGGGTCATATTTAGCTGTTCTATGTTCTTTCCTTCAGAGTACCTGAAAAAAGAGAAAATAATGCAAGTACTAGGGGTCTAATGAAATACAACATGCAAATTTCCATGATGCATATGACATGAATATGAAGATTGATACCTTTGGACCAATTGGAGTGGGTTAGCATCTGCATAGCTGGGGTCCTTATATCCTGCGTGATGCTTCTGCTGAATTTCCAAAGGTCAAAAAATGAAAACTAGACAACAGTGATTTCATCAAAAGGATCTAAAATCCTAGAAAGACAAAAAGAAAACATTGAATTAAAATCTTCATCAAGTGTTGTATTTAGCTTTGTAAAATTTGAATCAAAGTGAATTAGTGGAAAATTTCCCTTTTCGTGATGCGTTCTATCATGACGTAGTTCAACCAACTTTGGTAACTAAACTGTAGGATCATTGCACTAAAGTGAACTTATTCTTCAAAAAAAGAGAAAAAAAAAAAATTGTAGAAACACAAAAATAAAATTCCATTCGAATGGTTCAGATAACTCAAGTCGCTATACTTGTCTTTTCATCCAAGTCATGATTTTTATCATTGCAATTGCAGCAGCGCATCCTAGGTTCCTCAACAAGACATTCTTGAAATGAAAGGATTCACTTCAACTCTCGAAAGAACAGATAACCACCCCTTGAACCCGTAAAGAACAGACTAACAACCTCTTGAACCCGAATGATAAGGAAGTCAACATTATAGACTAGTAATCTTTGGTTAATTTAGCAAAGCCAGTACCCTTAAACAATCTTTGCAATGTCTTATGACTACTATGAATATGGTCATTAGTCTACTCAGTACAGCAATGTCTTCACATTTCACTCTCTCTCTCTCTCTCTCTCTACAAAATCAATATTCTCGCAGCACCTTGTAAGGAAACTGGCATGCCATGTAATCCTCCGAAAAAGAAAAAACAAAAAACCACTCGCACACGCACACCCCTCTGCTCCTGGACCACCTAGTAAACAGATCCCTTAAGTAACATGCATGTGTATGTCAGATTTGTTCAGGTAAAAGTGCACATACATCACAGAAAACATTCTATCAATAAAGGTAGCCCAGAAGCACAAAGAGTATCATATGCACTACGTATCCCTACAGAAATTCCATTCCACATTATTTCCCAACAAAAGCTGCCATTTTTTTGGGTGGGTTGCATGTAAGGATCTTTCTCCCTCTCTCAAAAAGTTCTCTTTTACTATTGGGTTTTGAAAACAAAGTTAAAGTAGTTTTGAAGTCACTCGTTTCTCTGGAGTTGGATCTCAAGCATATTTGGCTGAAAGAGAGAAACCTTTGATTTCAGCTTCTTGCTAAAAGCTTATCGTTCAGAAATCTAGAAATCTTCTAGTACTCTGCTCAATATTGAATACAATAACAAGTTTTAGCAAAATGTTGAATAATTGACTAACCTTGGTTTTATCAACGTTCTTGCAGATTGCTCTTTCTCCACTTCTAATTTTGTGTGACTCATAGCGCTGGAAGATTTTTCTCAAACTGTACACAAAGGAACATAGTGCAACTCATAAATCGTCAAACTGGGCATAAAGGAACGTAGTACAACTGATGACCATGCAAGGAACCTATAAATATTGCGAAGCAAATGCCGACAGAGAATAAAATGTAAGTATAATAATGAATCATGCCAACCACATCAATATATTATAAGCTTTCATGCTAAGCATTCACGTTGAGTAAGATGGTAACGTTTTTGACAATTTTAATATTTTCTCATCAATCAGATTTGCATCCATCTTGAATGGATGAAGCCTAGTATATTCCCTTAAAGATGTTGTTTTGATTGCCAAACAAGCACAAAATTGATTTCCTAGGATATTGACAGTAGCATTAAAGATCTAAACACAAAATCATTGACATTTGTTTTAATTATATTTCTTAATATTGTAATTCATTTTGAAAAATATTAAGTATTAACTCCAATTTCAGTGGAATTCTTTTATATAGCATTACAATTCAATAACAATGAAATTTGCAACTTTTTAATTAATTTCAATTTACAAATGGTGAAATGCATGCTGTGTTCTTGTACCATCCAATAATGTTTATTTTAACTCTTCTATCTCAATATGGTATAAAGACAAATCAATCCTATATTACTGAACATGGAGAACAAACCAACCTTTCCATCCAACTTCATTAATCCTGTCTCATCATATGATTGGTCAGACGTTGGATGGAAAGACTAGTTTGTTCCAACGTTCAGTAGTAAATGGTTCGTTTTATACCATACCTAGGTAGAGAGGTTAAAATGGACAACACACTGGACAGTACAAGAACACAGTGAATTTCATCCAATTTGCAAATATAAATGTTATAAATCCTTTTTGGAGGATACCTTGTCCTCATATTTTTCCCTTTCGTTGATATATTTTATTACATCCAAAGAAGGAAAAAAAGGCTAGTAGTATTTGGATGCAATATTATTAATCATGATAGTCAAAAGTCAGAAGATAAATTTATGACTCTTTGTGATGTTGTAAGGATTTACCTATCAAATATTATGATCTTGCAAGGATTTACCTATCAAATACTATTAGAAAAATATCGAAACTAAAATTACAAATTCTTTATTATAACATCAAAAGGTAATAGTTTTAACCGAGATGAAACTACATGAATTTTCTCCTACTATACATGATAGCTTAGGTGCTCCACAGATACTTTGAAATTATAATAGGTACTTCGAATGTATTATATGTTCAATATGTGTTCTTTATTGTAGTTTTAAAATGAGAAGAAATGTGAGAAAGAAGATAGTTAAAAAAAAAAACAGAGAGGATGAGTATTTGTGACCGTGAGTATTTTCTTCGAACAATGGGTGTAGATAGCCATGTAATCAACAAGATCACCGTCAAATATATCTCTTGTTCCTTGATAAATTAGTAGTTTTTAAAGTATTCTCAAATATTGATTTAAAAAGAGGGTATGAAAAAACATATTTAGTGGTGGCGATGAATAAGAGACTGCACCCAAGTAATCTAATGGTTTTTATAAGTGATTAGTCATGATTTTTAAGGTTTGTTTCACCTGCTGTACTTGAAGCTTCTCTTTTAGCTGATTATAATAAGAGCAAGGAAAGGCTGGCATCTCTCATAAGTAGTTTTATCTTCATTCCTGAGATATCATACCCAGTTTCTTCTAAAAGAAATCTCTTTACCAAACATTTTTACTTTTAAAATTTCACTAAAAGCTTAACTTATAAACATAGTTGTCTTTCCAATTAGCAAAACGCATGTATGTAAGTTATGATTGAACACTTGATTGTCTTTTATTTTGATGATATTTGGTCCATAGTCAGAGCATGGAAGAGCATTTGGTTCGTTTGCTTCAAGTTTTGAAGGTGGTCCAAACAAGAAAAAAGTTTTGAAGGTGATCCAAACAAGAAAAACTCTCTAAATTTGAAAAGATGGTCATTATGTAGTGGTTATTCATTTTGATGATATTTTTAGGCTTTATTATTTCAGTTGAAGGTATAAAGAAAATGTGCATTATGGAGTGGTCTATATAAAAAACCAGGAAAAAAAAAAAAAAAGGTTTGAGCTTTCATAGCTTAGCATCAGAGCTTCATAAAAAAATTCAATTCCATTGATTTTTATTACTATATGCTTGGATAAATAAAATTAAATGATTAAATTCAGCTCAAAAAGCCTTTGGAAATACTGAAACCTTAATGACTAAATTGCCTCTTATTATGCAAATTGATTTTGATAAACTATTAACTGTGTAAGATGATGAATTTTAAGAGATTTGGAGTAGTGCCAATTAAGCTAATAAGCATAATAAACTTTTTCAATGATAAACTATCTGATGCTAAATGGCGTTATTCCATCTCTGCTAAGAGATTTTATGTTCTGCTGAAGAGTTTTATGCTAAAATGGTCTGTGTATTCAGAAAGGTCTTTGCATGAACTTTTTGTTAGAGAACTTTATGTAACTAGTTTAGGAGTAAGTTTTACAGGATGTTACAATGGCAATGCATGCTAGATGATTTGAATTTTGGTCAAGAATGTCGAAAGGATGTGGATAGATTGTGTCCATCTTGCAATCTGGTGAAGTAGCTCTCCAAGCAGGTATTCATACTCGTTTGCATAAATCAAAGGCATAGGATTCATTTAAGTATATTATCTTAGTACTTGAAGAGAAATCAAAGGGGTAAGTTTCGTTCTTTGTTGTGGTTCATTTCAAACATGGCATAAGTCACTCCATGTTCCAAGATTTTTTTAGGCTATTTATATCGCAAATAGTGTTCAATTTCTATCGTTTTTTACATTAATGTCAAATCTCTTGGACACTTTGAGAGGACCATATAGTTGAAAGTTGGAACTCAATTATAATATTCCAAAGCTTGCCAGATGCAAAAGGATGGAGAAATAGAAGATGGTAATCGAAGTTGGGGAATACACTTAGCTGTCTTGTTGAAAATCATGTGAAAAGTTGAGATTCTATTTCCCTCAATCCTATTCTGCCTACAACAATTTCTGGATAAAATAATTAAGAAGACATCTTTTGAAGCTACGTGTAACCTTGAACCTCACTACGTGCTTAATTTAGTTCCTTTGCCACTTGGAGATCTGGTGAGTGATGATGGAAAGACTTTTGCAGATCATAGACGATGAGTTCGTAAGGATATGAAGTTGGGGATGCAGAGACTTTTGGAGATCATATATGACGAGTTCATGAAAGCAGGAAGGTCAACTTTAAGTCCAAGGAAAGTTAAATTAATGCAGCTAATCTCCATCACTAAGTTAAAGGAGTTTAAAAGGTGAAAAATATTCTTATATATACTTCAGACAAGAAAGGTTCCTGAGGGCATTTATCACAAGTTGAACTTTCATATAAAGTGCATCAATTATCTGAAGGTTTACTTCGATGTTGTACAAGATGACTTCAATGTTAAAGAAGTCAAATCTTGAAAAGGTCACTAATTATGAGATTTTTGGTGAAACAGTTGGGCAAACCAACCAATGAAAGAATTAAGATAGCTAAAGAAGAGTTAAAGAAGGTTGATCCAAAATGAAACTCAGGTGGTCAAAGTTTTCTCGGCAGAGTCGAATTTTCTAGTTGGAGAATGGTGAAAAATCAACGGGTGAGAATTATTTCGAATTCTTGTACTATTTAGTATTGTTTAATTTAATGTTTTATTCAGATACAATGCAAAATAAATTCTGAAGTAATCAAAATTAAAGTAAATCAATTTTTTTTTAATTTAACGTCCGACCAATTATATGATAACATATGAATAACGAAAATAGATAAAAAGACTGATTTGTCTCAATTTTAAATTATACAAGGTTGGTTTTATGCCATGTTTGGATAGAAAAGTTAAATTAAACAATACTAAATAGTCAAGGATAACAAATGAATTTCATCCAAAAATTAATATATTATTTTGTTAAATCTAGTATGTGACCTCCTAATAAAGTGTATTCAATCTTATTTGTTCCATTGACTTGAAGATGCATACCAAGACAGAGGAGCTTAGAAATTATAGTTATTTAATTGTTTAGGTATTTTTTTTTAATGCTAGTTATTTAGGAACTTATTGTAGAATATTAATACCATTTAGGTAGTTTAGTTCATTTAGGATCTAGAATATTAATAGGAGTCTTTATTTATGCTTGCTTTCCCTTTTTCTATTTTTTGATTTCAATTTGTTATTTAGTTTAAGTCTACTAGGTTTTTGGTTCCTACAAAAGGAGGACCTCTTCTATGAAATCAGAGGAAATCGATTTCATTTTAACCAAGTTGCATTTACTAACAAAAATTGAGGTCCTTAATATAAATAAGCTATAATCATAACCTAAAGATGTCTTCTAATCATTTCAACTACATATATAAATTTTAAAGGTTTTCACTAAACCTTAAATTGCGCTATTTTGTTCCCTTTTTTTTTTTTCCTGCTTAGTTTGCAGTCTTAGTTTGTATATTTATTACTTCTATTATTGTTTTCGTCTCGAGGAGATTGATATATTTGATTTTTTACACAAATTAAAAAAGTAATTAATTGATAAGCTATGTTATCTTTCTTTATTCATAGTTTTCTAAAATATCCTCATTTTAATTGTAAATGTCTTATAAAACAAAATTCAATTAAAGATATTGTACAAAAATACATGTTATATATTTTGACAAAACAATGATTTTAAAACAAATAAAAATAAAAAGTGAGAGAATCATTTTGGATGGATGGAATACTATTTTTCTATTTTTCTCGCTATGTCACTAATGAAAGTCCCATTGTTGTCTTCTCACATCCCTCTCTTATTGGATTCTTTTTCAAACATCATTTGATCTTAAATGTCCATGCAAAACTTAGTAAATCAAATATTGAAACTATTGTGCATCCTTAAACTAATAGTCAATGGACCCGATTACAGGTTTGGTCAGTGAAAAAAACTCAAAGGGTCAAATCTAACCAAATCCGATGGCAAAGTTGGATTAGACAAAGTTAATTGATCGATAAAGTTGATTAGGAGAAATCATTTGACTTGTCACCTATAAACCGGTCCTACGATGACGCTGGGCCTAAGTTAAATCAAGCCTTAATTAGGCCTAATTAAAAAATTATGACTTTGATGGGCTACTAATATGTAGGAAAATCTTCTTTCCTCATACTTTAAACCCTTTTAAACCAAGAACTCTGTCTACGTCTAATTTCCAACCTATGTCCCCCAACTGGGAAGTAAAGCGAAAAATACCATTACTTCAATCCTCCTTTTATGGAGAACACTTTCTACTTTCTCCTATTTGTAACCTATGTTTGCGGCATCGAAGTCAAGCTAACATTTAAATCCTAAATAACAATTCACTATTAGTTCATACCCAACAAATCCTAGTTTTTCTATATTTTGTCTTTGGAAGGACTTCACCAATTAGCAAATCTACAAAACAAGCGCCCTGTTTGTAGTTTCTATTTTCAATCCTTGAAGAACAACATTCTATAACCGAATCAATTCATATAAATTTAATTGAATGAAAGCGGTAATGACAGTCACAGTTCGTATGTTTATATCCATGGTGGTTAGTATTATCAAAATTGGATTGATTGGACTAGCTAGACCCAAAAACTAATGATTGGGATTTAAAACTGACAATTCTACATCGAATGGAAAACCAATCAATTGGGTAAGATGTGTGAGTTGATCATCCTTTTTATTAGAATTTTGTAAATTTAATTAGCTTCAAGATTTGAAAAGAAAAAATACAAAGCAATGGTTGAATTGGTGAACGACTCACTTGAACCAATAAACTAATTATACGAAGCTGTAACTAATTCATTATCCGAGTCTATTATGATAACATGAATGGTAGAAATAGGGATAAAGGTGCTGAAGGTAACAATGGTGATGGGATAGTAGTTGTTGTAATAATATTTATGATGATGTGACGGTGGTGTTGTCTTTATCTTGCTAATGATAATGTGATATTTTATTAATAGAAAACGCAATACTAAAAGCTATTTTTTTTTTTTTAGTTTTTAAAAACTTGATTTGTTTTATAAAATCATCCATTAAAAAAAAAAGATTTATGGAACCAAAAAATTATAAGTTATATATTTTTTAATTATATTAGCATGTTATTTCAATATTAATATGAAAATATACAAACTAAATTTTTATTAATCATATTAGCATGTATGAATTTTTTCATTTAAAATTTTGTTATCATTTGATGTGGCGAGGAAGAAATGGTGATGACAAAGATTAAATGCCATATAGGATTTCACGTAGTATATTTCAAAATTATGCTCCCCCATTTACCGATGACATGTCGCTTCAATTTAATCGGCTTTCATTCCCAATTCTCTTTTTCTCTTTTCGGACATCTCCTTTTCTTTTGATTTTAAATCTTAAAAATCTTCAAATCCAATTGAATTAAAATCCTAAAAATCTTCAAACTTTCTAATTTAAAATTTTCTTCTCTGCCTCCATGGACTTCAATCGACCGAATCTTCTTTTATTGTTTTTCTTTTTCTTTGGCTAATAATGGCAATAGTACTAATTAGATTTTAGGAGGATTTTGGTAGTTACTCGAGGGGATTTTGGGCTATGATTTGATAGGGATGAGGGTTTGATGTGGCTATCACTACAAGGCTACTAGAGAATGGCTTGTTGTAGGGTTTGATGTGGTCGGCTGTAATGGGTTCAAATATGAGAAGAGAATGACCGTAAGGTGGTTTGTGGTGGTGTGGCTAATAGTGGTGTCATAGTTTTAAATAACGACTTTACGTTATATAATGGTTTCGAAGCATCTCGTTATCGTTATTTTAGTATTATAATAAGTTATGATTCGTGATGATAATCGCAATCATTTTTCCAATCATCCACTATTTAAAACTATGAGTGGCATGGGTCCGTGGTGGCGTAGCGATAGTGGTGTGGGTCCGTGGTAGTCGGGTTCAAGTATGAGAGGAGAAACAATAATAGGTTGTTTTCCGGTTGTGTGACTAATAGTGGGTTAGGGGAGAAGACAATGGATGGCTGTTTTTTCATAAAGAGAGAACGACATTGGATGGAGGAGATGGTGGTTGATAGAATGAGATTGAGGGCTAAAAAAGGTGGTCTAAAGAATAGCATCAAGATAGCTAGGTGGTTATGTTTTTGGCAAGAGAGATGGATGGCGCTAAGGGTTGGAGAAGGTGGTCGAAAGAATTGGGAAATCTAAAATTGATATGTCATACGTAATTGAGGGATGATAATCGTTAAATATGTCACACAAGATTCTACGTGACATGACATATAGTTGTCATCACTATTTTTTCTCACCACATTAGATAATATCGAAATTTTAAATGAAAAAATTCATGAGTGCCAATATAGTTAATAGAAGCTTAGTTTATGTATTTTCTATCCATATTGAAAGAACGTATTAATATGATTAAGAAATATATAGTTTGTGATTTTTTAATTCAATAGCCAAAAAATAATAAATGTAGTAGCTCAACCAAATTTGTCTAAAATAATAAAAAATAAAAAATCATAATGGCACCAATAATGACTTACTATCTAAAATAATAGTAGTTTATAATCAAATGAAATTTTCAGTACACCATAAAATTTGATATTTACAAGAATTGTACTTTTCAAAAATTACTATTGAACTTTGGTGGTCAAGAATGATAAGCATCTATTTATCTTTAACTATGTTTTAATTATGAAAAATTCATTTACGATATTAAAATGAAACAAATTTGAATAATTTTTAGAGAAAATGTGTCCATTTATTTTTATATAATAAAAGGATCCTCTTATATTCTCTTTTAAGATTTTTTTTTTGTTTTTAAAAATAGTGACATAGTATTTTATTTGTGCATTAACTATTTCTACCACCATCACCACCTTCAGCTCCACCACCACCTCCATTTATGATGGTAATAAAATAAAATTTAAAAAATATTTTATTATTATTATTATTCTGTCACTATTCTTCCACCACTATAAATATCATTGTCATCTCTATCACCATTGGACAAGTATGGCTAAAAAATTAAAAAAAAATATTATTATTATTATTATTATTTTATCATTATGTTTTCTTTTACAGCCACCATCATTTTTTATTATAAAACCATTATCATTACAACAACCTCTATCTTTTTTTTATCATCATAATAATAGATGTAATTATTTTTTTAATTATTATTTTTATTTATTTTAAAAATTACGTATTAAAAATTTTAAATTTTATTTTCATTCTATATTACAATTCAAACCACAGCATATAAATATAAATATCATTCTCATTTTTTTAATTTTTATATTTTCATTCTCGACTTTTTATTTTTTATATCCAAAGGATTTGCTGTGGTTAACTACGAATAGTTACACTACTGACGTCCCTTTTTTCGGTTTTTGTGACCCACAGCACCCTAGTTTTTCGTTTCATTAGTGTTCTTAGCACCCTTTGATTATCACAACCCACCAAATACGAGGATAGTTAATAAAATCAAATTTACTTGGCACCCATTATCGTATTCTGATCCACCAATCCGTTTCTTCCATGTTTAATCCATGCCATCCTCGTAACCTTATCTTGTCTGTCTACTTCTGGAAACTCCTATCGCCTTGTTGGTAGGTCCTGACATTGATTAATACTATGCCTAAAATCCTAGACGTCGCTGATGATCCAAACGCAACACAACTGCACAACAGCACGTGCATGTATGCGCAAATCATGGCAAAAAATGCATATCCTCAAGTGATATGCAAATCAGAAAAGTCACAAAGGCCCACATAAGTCAGCGTAGAAGCTTATCTATTAGGAGATCCCGTTGATTTTTCCAATGAAATACCAAGCGAACCTTAGCTACCTCTATAGTGACAGTTTGATGATTGAAAAGTATTTTTTGCCAAATATATCTAAAAAAATTCAATATTTTTTCACAAATAGGAACTATCAAATCAAAAACGACATGGTAGTAGTGCTACTGATGAAACAAAAAATAAAATAAAAATAATAATAATATACAGGCATGCTTGAACCGGAAATATTCAGAGACAGAAGGACGTGCCTGTGGCCAGCGCTGCAAAACTCGAAGAGCTTGCCAGTGGCGGAGAAGATGATCATCGCCATCTCAGCATCACACAAGACCGATAGCTCTTCAGCTTTCTTTATTAAACCGCTCTTTCGCTTAGAGAAACACACCAGACGCCTGCCTCTGTCTTCGATTCGTTGTAACTGCACCTTCCCTCTCACCATGATCGATCCACCGCAGAGAGCAAAAACTGATTTCTGTTTTCTGTTTCTCAGAAAGAAAATGAGGCAGAGACAGAGCAGTCAATAGAGAAAATGAAAAGACGATTGGGGGTTCTTATAAGATTTGAGTCGGACGTACCGTGATGAATCGAGTTGGCTGAGTTGGTGATTCCGGGTTGAGCATATACATGATCGACACGTGGGCGTAGATGATACCTTCAATGGCCGTTTCTGTTTCTGTGTTCTTTACTATTTAAACCCTTGCGGCGCTGATCAAAAGAAGCAAGGGTTTATCTTCAGTAAACCATATTATAAAAGCTTCCAAAAGAACAAAGCTGACCTGAAAAAAAAAAATCGTTTTTTTTTTGTCTCTTCGTAATTTTTATTTTATTCTCAATTCAAATCAATGTTATATTCCAAACTAGGTGGTTACCCGTAATCATGTTATATTCCAAAATAGGCAGTTGCCCGTATAATATCTCGGATTAGATAAAACAAAATTATTTTAAAATTTTTTAATTAAAATTTTATATTTAATTAATTTTTTTTGTATTTTTATTTTAAAAAATATTTCATTCTTCTTTATGAATAATAATTTAAGTTGAAATATTAATCTAGAATTAAAAAAATTAAAAAATATTTTTCATAATATTGTATCTAGAAAAAATAAACTACAATTAATACATAGAGTTGTATAAAAATTAATAAAAAAATTATTTTTTATTATTAACTAAAGTTAATGAAGAAATTATTTTTAAAAAATATATTTATTTATTTTAAAACAAATAATTTTAATATAAAAACCTGTATTTGAATTATTTGATGATTCTTTTAAAAAATTATTTGAATTATTTTATTTCAAAAATTGATTTTATAATATTAAAAAATAATAGTATATAGTTGGTATTATGTGTTAAATGAATATTTAGTTTTTAATAAAATTGATGATTTAATATTTTTTATATTTCATGATTATATTAAGTGGTTCAATAACGTGTAATATAAAGTGACAAGCATAAAAAAAAAAAATCAGGCAAATTATATGAAATATATATTAATCCATAAAAAAAATCAATTATTAAAAAAAATAATAATAAAACAAAATAGCAGGCCTGCTTGTGCGCCTGGGCCTGGTTCCAGCCCCCACGTATGCTTAGCTTGGTTCCCCGTCTCAATAAAACAGTTTCAAAGAGTTGTTTGGTGACTAAAAGAAATTTTTTCTCTCTTTTACTTTTTGATTTTAAACTTTAAACCAATATTTTTTTAAAAAAAATTATCTAAATGAATTGGATCAATATAAAAAAATATATTCTTAAAATCGTTAAAAAAAACCTAATTTCTATTGATGGACAAATTGGTATGAAAATAATTATCAATGTGGAATGGTAAAAAAAAAATTTAAATCACATAAATACTATAAAAATATTTAAAATATGGATTCGTGAAAAGAAATAATTCAGTACTCTAATTTCGCTTTTATTCTTTTACTAAAAAACTATATTAGCAAGCATTCTAGAAAGAAAGAAAGGAAGGAAAAACTATTTTGGCATGGGTGGAATCCATGGGACCAGAGCTCCATTAGCAAATTCCTGTGACCCTTGGTTATTTTCACAATATTTCAAACGATCGCTCTACATTTTTGGTTTTCATATATGCCCTCCAGCGCATGAATTACAGACAAATTAATTTAGGCACAATATTGTTTTTTATTGAGTCTTGTTGTAAACGGAGTAAATACGGTTTTTCGTGTTGTATTTTCAAATACTCATTTTTCTTAATATTGTCCATGGCAACTATGACTCTTGAGGTTTTTTTTTCACATGCAAATTTTTTTCCTCCGAATGCTTATCACATAACCATATGCAAGTAAATCAACTCATCAAATTAAATAATTTAACTTTAACATTTTTTTTGGCTAAGCCATAATTCTCTAATAGTAATATAATAATATTTCAATCCTTTTCCCGAGAATTAATAGTTTTAAAAGAATAATTATAACAGGATCAAGTTCTAATTTTGAATTGAGATAGTTTTATCTAGGTTTTGAATTTTCTTTCACAACAATGATGTCTAAATGTAATTAGAGTACATTTATGTATTTTTATCATATCCGTATTAATAAAAAAAATTGTGCAAGGGGGCTTTTTGAGAACTTATCAAACAATTGGTCGGCAAATCGATCAAAATATGGAGACCTAGTATTGTGATTTTTAGAAATAACGATCAACTAATCAAGTATAACAAATGCAAGTAGTGAGATATATGAGAGAAAAAATAAACAATGCTAGCAAGGGGCGAGTCGAATGATAGGTATATAGGCGATCAAAGTCCAAAGAAAGAGAGCTTTAAATGATGTATGATGTGTAAGTAAGAGAGTTTTGAGAGATAGAGAGAGAGACGAGTTCGGAGGATTTTGTTAAAGATAAAAAAGTTAAAATCTCCCTTACAATGATCTATGATGTGTATTTGTAGTGAAGTGGGGATCTTCTTTGACTTATAGGATCATGTCACATCATTCATATTTAAACGGTCGATTTGAGTTTTAAAAATTAGGATTTTGTAGGTTATAATGCTTCAACTTGCTAATAAAGACTAAAGAAAGTAACAATTGAACATTTTTTTTTTTTAAAACCCTACTCTAAGCCCACTAAGTCAATCTCACTATATATTCTAAAGACAAAGCATAGACACTAATCTTGTAAAAATACTTATGTCCATCTTTATGTGACCCAAAGCCTCATGTTAGGCGAGACTCATTCTTAGTCCAATATATTTGTTGTCTAGTTTGGACCATTTTCAAAAGAAAAATAACATAGATTAACACATAATAATACTAGTTAAGTTACTTAATTAACTTTCTAGAAAATTTAAGCATATACATTTAATCTCCCGTACGTGACATTTTTGCTAGCAAAGGTATTCATATAATCATGTATGACAAGATAAAAAAAGAAAAAAAAAGTTACAAA